CCCCCCCAATCGATTTAGAAAATCGTATTAAAAAAAACCCAAACGTTTCCATAGATCAGCTGTTTCTCAGGCAAATGTCCCAATTGTAACTGCTCAAAACTCATCAGTGAAGTCATAACAGCGAGTAACAGTCACAAGCAGAGTTTGATTTTTGCAGTAAGTAATGTGAGGGAGCTGTATTTAAAAAAAAATTGAGCTGCCTTTCTAAAATATTTGCCCTTTTCCCCCCATAAAATTCCATTAAAAGTCATGATTTTGWTCAGCCACAACTTCATTTAATCAATGGGATGGCCTGGGAAGTGTTTTATGATCTGCAGACAATTTCCTTTATATCTGTGATGGTTTCATGCTGTACCATAAAAAAAGAATGCTGGATACATAAAGATTTCTATGGAACAAAACATTTAAAAACATTCACTTTTTGAATAACTAAGTCAGACCAGCTTTGATCTAATACCAAGCTCCCCAGCTCCCTCCCTGTCCAGTCTCTGGGAGAAAAATCTCTGGAGTTTGGACCCTGCTGGCTCCCTGCTAGGAAAACCCACCTGCAAGGTTTCCATCAGGAAGTTTCAGCAAAATTCACACAGTCATGAAGAATACCAAAACTGCATCAAATCAATATTTCTTGCTGGAAAATTTTTTTCTTCAGAACATTTTCACCCATTCCTACTGATCATACCATGACTTAAATCCTGTGGCAGTCCTCTGGCAGGTCTATGACAATTTGCTGAACAGCAACTTGCCTTTCTGCAGACTGGATCCTGGGAGCCAGGCAGGACCCAGTTCCCCAGGCAGGTGGAGTCAGCCCCTGCCAATCATAAAAACTGATTGTAATAACTAGTAAACATCGTTTAATTGTCTAATAATCACTGACGCTTTGATTTTTCACCCAAAATCTCAGCACTTCATGCACTTAGCAAGCAGCATTATTTCTTTTTTCACACGTGGCCTCAGGACACCTATCACTGCAAGGAGTTTTATTGTCACCTCACCTGAGTCCCCACGTGGTGCTTCACCTTCCAGGGCACGGAGAAGGCAGGGAAAGGCACTGAGGACAGACCTGAGGCAGTAAATCCAGCAGCCACTTTGCTCAGCAACACAGATCTTGCAGTCAAATCCCAGGAATGGGTTAAGTTGGTTTTCTGCTAGAGAGGCAATTCCACGATTTTGTGCCCTCCACACAAAGATTGATTAGAAAGCTCCTGCTGGATAAACAGAATCAAAACAGAAGTAATTTTTATATCAGATAACTAGTGGCAAATCATGTTTTAAACACTTTTACTCAAGTTTTTATTAAAATTGATGTTTAAAAATTTCTTCTGAGMTTGCAACGTTGTGAAAATTTACAACAGCTGGGAAAGTGAAAATGCCCAGTTTGTGTTGAGTGAGTTTTGTTTCTTAAGAGATAAAAAAATAAGTAATAAAAATAAAAGGCAAATGCATTTAAACKTAGCTCTATTTTAATAAATTTAAGGTTGTTATTGTAGTAGTAGTGTTGCTGAAGACAATTCTATCTTGAATGGTTCTCTCAATTTRTAACACTAAACCTTCAGTTCTGCTGTATTTACTGCCCTCCAAGTTTGATTTTATATGTAGCAGCTGACACTGAAGTGCTGATATCTCTGTGTTCAATTAAAGTAAGGAATTAGAAACACAAGAGTGTGGTTTTTGCAGTCTTAAGTTAGAGTAATTCAAGACTCTTTTTATGTTCTCCTCTTCTACCAAAACCATAATGAGGGACTGTTGTGCTCTACACTCACTAGCAAGTACGATGTGCAAATCATCTTCTCCTGGGATCATAACAACTTTTGAAGTCATTTATTGATTTGGTCCTGCCAGCAAAAGGGATTTCTACAGCAAAAGCTGTCACCTGCCTGCACCCTCACCCCCAAGAGGTGATGAATGGCAGGAATGTCACAGGGAGAACCTCCCTTGGCAGTTGCTGATCCTGCGGCATCATCCACATCAGCAGTTCTCAGAAATTGGGGAAATTATTCAGGTGCTTAAAGTAAAGGCTGTGTTTAGTTAATGATCTCTTTTTGGTGCTGCAGTGGTCATTCAGATTTAGTGTTAAGGTAACAGATGGTAACAATACTTTACACTTGGGCAAACTGAAGTTGGTTRTTTTTATGAAGAAATCCTATGGCATTTCCATAGTTTCCCAATTCCAAATTGGACTGTAGCAGAAAAGATTCTCTCTGCTGTAGGATAAGCCCAAACACAGGCACATTTGTTCTGGTAACAGACTCTCCATCACTTTGTACAAGTGGCTTCATCCCTGACACATCCTTGAGGAGATGGAGGCAGAGGAAACTCTGATGTTCCCTTCCTGACTCCTGAGCACCTTTGCAGGAAGCCAGAAGGAATCTGAAGGGAGCATTGGATGAAAGCAGCAGCCTTGCTCCTGCAGGGACAGCCATCTCTGCCATCTCTGAGTCCCTTTCTCGCACTCCACCATGAACCCAAATGCCCCTGGTATGAAATGCAGGAGCACCGACCCCAGCAGGGGATGGATGGTGAGCACTGAGTCCCTGGTGCTTTAGGCAGACACTCACTCACAGGGCTGGCGGTGGCAGACCTCTTTTGGTGTTGCTGGACCATTTCTTACAGCCACTCCTGAAGCCCCCTAAGCGATTCCAGCACTGTGTAGCTGATTACATTTAAGAATGTATGTAAATGCTACACGTAATGTTTTAAATTACTAGCAGCTCCACTACTGAGTGACCAAAATACTTTCTAATGGCTGCTGAGGATCCTCTATCCCTGTTTGGAGTTAATCCTCTCAGAAATTAGGGCAGTTCAGATTACCTTTGGAAAGGAGAAAGCTGCAAAAATATCCAAATTTACACACACAAAGCATGTATGATGAGACAGGATTTGAGCTGGTGTRAAAGCACAGTAACATACTGGATGGGGCATGGTATTCCTACCCTACTTAAGTAATATTCATCTCTTCCCTAAATCCTCTGCCAGAAATAAGTCCTGCTCAACACTCTATTCTTAGATTTTTGTCAGGTTTTTTTTTTTTATTTCCTTCTCATTTTTCTCATTAGACTGACATGTTTTCATAGTCACAGGGCCCAGTTTTGCTTCTAGTCACAGTGAGTAAAGGTTTTTGCACGTAACCCCTGTGAACCTGGAGGGCTGGAGCAGACACTGCTGCTGCTCCCAGCTCACACGAGGGGTTCTGGGGCTCGAATGCCCCCCTGGGAACCTGAATATGCTGATGGCTGAGGGATTCTGCAAACTGAATTTTCTTTAGAAAATAGGTGAGGGGCAGAAGAGAATATTGGCTGTAAATAGATCCAAAACAGCAAAAGGAGAGAGATGCTAAATTGTTCCCATSTCTGCTTCCAGCACAGTGACCTTCACAGTGGAGCTTCTCTCTCAGCTCATAACAGCACGCTGGCAAGGCCACCTTGGTTGCCTTTAAAATGTCACTGGTTTAACATCGAATCAAGAGGTACAATTGCCTTGTTTCTTCCTTCTCCCCACCCCCCAATTCCAGTCCTGATCAGGCCCAAAACAAGCCCACAGTGTATCTGTGTTCCTGGAGGAAGTTTGTAAAAGGTCATTAAAGCTGCGAGTTCAAAGGGATGGAGAGTTTTCAATACAGGTGATGAGTTTCCTTTTTCCCCTCTCCAAGGAGGGTCTGCACTGCCTTGAAGTTATTTCAGGATGCAGGTGATAGTCAGAAGTCTAACACATTGTCTGAGAAGGAACTGACTGGTGTTGTAKGAGGAAATTTGGGGTTAAAGCTGGCAGACTGTGCTGTGTCTTTGGTTTATTCATCCTGACTATGGGCGAGTGACATTGCCACCAAAAAGCTTCATTTTACTTTCCATGAAACTGATTTAGGTGGAAAGCATGTTTCTGCATTCTGGCCAGGCATGGTTCTCACTTTATGCAGCAAATGCATTTTTAATTAACTTTAGTTTCTACTTTTGCCTTCTTATCTGACATTCTTTGTTAAATGATCTAACAGGATGAGACACTTGTGCAGGAACATATGGAAAGAAAAGGCAACATATTCATAATAATGCAACAAAATCTCACTTTCTAGTATACCATGCTTACAATAAAATCAAAGACAGCCAGAAAGTCAGGTTATTCCACACTGTAAAATTTATCTGAAATTCATGGCATATAACCTGTTTTAATAAAAGACATGATGCTGGCCGCCTAACAG